AATCAATTGAACTCAAACTCAGGACTTTTCTACTGCCCATTGATAGATTTATAGATTTCTGATCTAGAAGGTAGCATAACAGATCTTAGATTTTCTATCTTCATTGAGTTATTAAGTTGATTGGCATTTATAGATGGCTTCCACTCCCTCAATGAGCCTTGTTTAAATATTCTACTACAATATTTAACTCTGCGTTATGAATTCATAAAAGCAGTATAATTTCTAACATTCCAAATGTAAACTTTTTAGTTCAACTTATTTTTCACACTATTTAATCGCTAAGCTATGTACTCAATGAATACGTGAAAAATGTATTCGTCACTTTTTAAACGTTTTTGTGGATGTTAATTTTAGTAGCTATATTTGCTGGTGATGATTTTTTAGCCGTAAAGTAAAATTGGTGTGTCAAACTCACAAGTAGTAGCTGGTCAAATAAAAAAAGAGTGAATTGACAAAATAGGAGTAAAAGATGAGGTAAATGCAAAAACGGGACTTATTGTTTTAAATTTCTATAATAGGACTAAATATTTGTGTCTTGACAAAAATAGCCTTAATGAATTGCCGTAACATCATTAGCGCATCGCAACCATCATCCAAGTCGATCTGTGCTAAAATAATCAAATCTGCTGTAACTTCATCGGTACATCGTAACCATCCTCCAGCAAGTCTGTTGCGCACATCTGCCACCCTAAGCTGAGTTCATTGCTGCCATTCTCGGATGAAGCTGCCACCATCCTCTCGTGAAGCTGCATCCCTCCAAGAAGTCATTGTAAGGCTTGAGAGAGAATGTCATCTTCATAAGAGTAATGACACAAAAATGACATTTTGCTATAAAAAAATATGACATTCTCAAGTGTTAGAAAATAAATTATGTAATTTTTTAGATGAAAAATACTGACATCATTTGGAAAACATGTAAAAAAACTTGTCATTTCTAATAACAAATAGTTATGTTATTCTCAGATAAGCCATGAAAATGCCATAAAATGTCATAAGAATGACATTTTCTTATGGATGTATGACAGTTTCAGAGTGTCATCCTGATAAAAAATACTGCCACAAACATGCCAGTTTTTTCAAATAACCAATAATTTTGACATTCTCCGGTCAGAAAAGTGACATTTCTCAAATCAACATAAAAACCATAATTAAATAATTTGAATGTTTTAAAATAAATTAATCATAATTAATATAAAATTGAAAATCAAATTAAGAGAATAAAAAACAGAGGAGGTGTGAGCACGTCAAGATGAAAAGTGCCCAAAAAGAAAATAAAAGAAGAACAAGAAAGAAGAGAAGAAGAATAAGGAAGAGGAGGAAGAGAAAGAAAAGGGAAGGAGGGTTACCTGACTTCATCGGAGGAATTGCAGATGCGAAGTGTGATTCCGTCGGAGGAATTGAATAGCTATCGCCGGAAATTGCATATGTCGTCAACTAGTCAAGTGTGGTTGGGTAGCAGTCCGTCTGTGATGGGGAAGAAGGATATCGCTGCTCCCAAATCGGAAGATGCAGTAGCGTAGATCTAAAGTCTGAGGCGTTGATTTTGGGTTTAATGAAGGGGAGGGCAAAAATGTAATGTGGAGTCCTATTTAGAGAATAATAAACTTATACTCCTATTTTTGAGTTTTGCTAATGTTTTAGTCTCATTTGGGCCAAATACCGATAAAAAAAATAACTATAGATTACGGATAATAACATGTTTGGTTTGTGTCATAATTGAAAGCTGTACTCAAATTGGATTTCTTGAATAGCATATCTACTGGGTAATATGCAAATTCTTTTTTTGGCAATGGGCCGGTTTTCTGGTAAACAGGGAACTTCAGACGAGGAAATATGCAAAAGTGATGCATTATCTGTTATTCGCTTGGAGTTCAATAATCATAATTTTTTCAAGAAGGCAAGGGTTTTCGGTGGTCAATTCAGTCCAAATCTTCAGTTTGTTTCCCCATTCCCTCCCTGTTCGTTAATATTCCATTTCATTGTAAGTAAGGAAACCTTGAGGTTATGCATATACACATTCTTAGAGCATCTCCAATACTATAATGTCCACGGTGCATATGTGGCATGAGTGATAGCCACATAATTATTAGCAAATAAATTATTTCTCTTCTTATTTGAATGATTTTATACAATTTTGGTAAGTTTTTCCCTGCAATGTCAACAGCTAGGGGAGAGCAAACCCGACCCTACCCGATTGACCCGATCGGATATATCCGATTTTATTTTTTGGGTCGGATAACCCGACCCGAATGACCCAAACCCGATCCGATTTTTGCAACCCGAGAGTTAAGCGGGTAGCGGGTAGGGTTACCTTTTATGCTACCCGACCCGCCCGAAAACCCGAACTAGGGTAGTATATATAGGGTTGCATACGAACCGAATCGAGTCGAATAGTAGGATTTTGTATTTGTATTTGTTTAATTTTTTCGAATACGAATTCGAATTCAAATATGAAATGAATATTAATTACGATTTGTATTTGTATTTGTTTAACAATACGAATAATTAACGAATCTTATACGAATATCGAATAGATTTGAGCATAGGTTAAATATTAGTCAAATATCACTTAAAATTAAATTTTCTTATATTTTTTATGTTGTAAATGTACGCTATGATTTAATATGTGTTTTTAGAATTTAAATTCAATGGATCAATGCATTTTTAGTTTGTGCACGATATACTAAAGTGATCTGAATCAATTTTATGATTAATAAATATAAATTTATTTCAAACTTTTTGAAATAAAACTAACATATACATATTAGAAATTACACTTATAATGTGTGAAATAAGTTGATAATTGTATATATCAAAGTCAGAAGACTCTAATTTTATTCTGCGAATCGAATACATAATTATTTGTATTGTATTTGAAAGACATTTGAACCAAAACTCCGATTTGTATTCGTATTTATACTCTGATTTATTACAAATGGACTTAGAATTTGTATGCGTAAATGTATATATGAACTACACTTTAGGGTATTGCTATCTTTTAAAAGTTATTATAGTGTTATTACTATTATTATTAATATTATTATTTTTATTAATATTATCACTATTATTAATCGAATATATTTGATTAATATTCGAATCGAATACACTGATATTCTTATTTGTATTTGATAACAAATCGAATCAAATTTAATATCCATATTTGTATTTGTATTTGAATTTTCCGAATTCGAATCGTCCTATATGAATTCGAATCGCGAATCGAGCACAAATTATTTGATTCGTTTACAACCCTAAGTATATATATACTACTTTGAATTTTTATGCATGTTCAAATATCTCAATTATTGTATGCCAATTACCATATTATGCATATCAAATATTCCAATTGCCGTATTTGTAAAACTATAACTTTGAATGTTGTATTGTTATGATTTTGAATGATATTTTGACCAATTATCATTTTATGTATCACAATATCAAATATGCCAATCACCGTATATTATTATTTTATATGTTCAAATATGTCGATCACCGTATTTATACAACTATTACTTTGAATGTTTTACTAGTATAACTTTGAATGATATTTTTACCAATTACCATTTTATTTATCACAATTTCAACAATAATAAATTAAAATCCGAATGGATCCGAAAACCGAACCAACCCGACCGAAACCCGAACTTCTTCAACCCGAAAAACCCGATAAATTTTTTGATCGGGTAGGGTTTGAAATTATCAATCCGATACCCGAACGGGTTTACCATTTTTGAACCCGACCCGCCCGAACCCGACCCGTGCTCTGCCCTATCAACAGCAATGTCAACATTAGACGGTTTCCTTGACATTGTGGAGAAAAACTTACCAAAACTGTATAAAATCATTCAAATAAGGAGAGAAATAATTTATTTACTAATATTTATGTGGTCATCTCTCATGCCACGTGTGCACCGTGCATATTGTACCATTGAAGATGCTCTTACATAGGTTGGTGCATACTGAAGGTAGCGAGATTAGAGCAGGGAGCTCTTGGTTCAACATTGCATTGTTTTCCACGAATCAATGGAGCCTATTAGCTGCATGCCTCTTTTTCAGTACTGGCTACGGGTATTGTATTTTCTTTCTAACGATGCCATATAGTCTTGGTGGTTTTCTTTTTTGAAGTTTAGGCCCATGGGATAGTAGGTCTCTAATTGTTATTACTCCAAGAAAATGTATTGTGTAAGATTCCCTGGCACTAATTCCAATTCTCTGATGGGATTGCTTATTGAGGGTTTCTCTAATTTACTACTCCCTCCGTCCCGAAAACAACTTCCCACTTTCCTTAAATGGATGTCCCAAAATTAACTTCACACTTCAATACTTTCCTTATTTGGCAAATTATCTACATCAAAAAAGTGATAAACAGTGCCAAACAGTGTTTAAACAGTGCCAAACAGTGTTTAAACAGTGCAAAACAGTGCATTCTACAGTAAAGTCAAATTTATTTCCTAAAAGTGTGTGAAAGTCCAACCGGGAAGTTGTTTTCGGGACGGAGGGAGTATGTAAGATAGGGAGTTGGTTAATCAAAATGAGCTGCTTACATTGTGTATAATCCTCTTTTTAATACAAAATTCGATGTTGTACATCACTCCTACAATTCTTAAGTTTGTGATATTTTCATTAGATTGTCCCAGTATACTATTGAGTTCTAAATTTCTAATTTTATAGGTAGAGAAAGTTTGTTATTTCTGGTTTACAAAAGATTAGACTGTGTTTAGTTCTAGCTTAATTTTGTATAATTTAATAAATTAATACCACTAAAATTTTATTTGATGGCAATAAATTAAATTTTATTTAATGAAGTTATACCATATAAATATCGGGTTCCATTGAGTCTTAGTCTAAGTGATCATCCTACTGGTTAATAGGTTTGATTGTCAATGTTAAACTCATATAACAAGTGGCTGTCCATCATCTCCTTCCTTTGCTTATGTTCAGGACTGGAGTCAAAATACAGAACAACATTGCAAAAAAAAAATATCGGGTTTCCCACATAGTCGAAAATTCTGATTTGATCTTTTCATCATCATCATTACCCCAGTGCCGCAAAGGCTCCCATCATTCCAGGCACTTTCAGTTATAAAAGACGAAAATCTATATAGAGATCGCATTCCTCTGAACTAGTATGAACTTCATTGTTGTATGTACATTGCATACTATCCTTTGGAGTAGTTATTTGCAGCCGAATTATATATTTCCTTCTTTTATGTTGTTCAGTATTTCCTTGTTTGCAGCCCAAATATTCTGGATTGAATAAAGTAAGGTGATGCAAGTATCGCATTTTGTCTTGAGTGTCCATTATTATAAAATCAATTTATCTTTGAGCTTTCATATTAGAATCTTTGTTTAAATTCTTGGTTACTAACTCGATATATAGCAAATTATGTGTTTGTTAGATCAACTTTTACATAAGGAGCAGCATCAGCATATTGTCATGAGAAGGAATGACAAATGGTTAGTAACTTTCTGTTTCTTCCTTTGATCTGTTTTTCCGACTAGGCATTGGTTTGATCCTCCTACTATTTGTAATTTCTTTTCTTTTTTAATAAATTGGTGGAATGTTCCCCCGACCCACCCCAAAACTCCCCTGAGTTGAGTTTTGACTTTACCAAGTATAAAAATACAAAATACTCCTATTTTTTTTTTATCACATTTCATTAATTTGATACTTCTACCTGCTACAGGGTGTGCAGAGATCACAGTATTTGAGCATTTGGCGCCAATTTATCCAATTGAACTATTTGATAGAAGAAAAAATTGAAAGTTGTAGAGCGACTAGAGATCTGAGAAGTTGTGAGCGTAATGGAGGTGTTCTAAGATCGTGTACGCATGCACCGTTATGCGATATTTCAATCGAAATAGGGGGAATGGCTAGCAGTTGCCCATTTCAAAGTTTGTGGGTACTACCGATATTCCCTTTTTACATGAAAGTTCAGATTTAGTGGTTACAAAACATGCATTGTTTTATATTATATTTTTTATCGACAGTGGACTGTTTTGACGAGAGATGGAGGGACATTATTGACGATTTTGCTGCCACATTTTGTGTTTTATGGTACTCCGTATTGGAATCCTATGTATATTTCCTGTTGGATGATCACACTGATGAAGGTTTGCAAGAAGCTTCTCATCTTCTCCCTGAAATCTCGAGTGTCAGTGTTCATCCTAAAGTGGCATTGGTTCTTTTATAGAGGAAAAATCCTGATGCGGCTCTTGTAGTGACGGGCACTTTGTCACGGTGCGTCAAAATAAATTCAATACTAGCACTAATACGTAGTATAGTGAAGTAGAGTTCGTATCCACAGGGAAAGGAATAATTCTCTTTTTATGTAACTAATAAATAAGTAGGGGGGGTTTTGATTTAGTGATTTGATTAAATTAAACACGAAGATGAACGAGTTATATGAGTTTTAATTCAATGATAAAAAGGACTTGGCATTGCTACTTTCCACTTGTTGATATATTTTAGTCGATCATTGTTATATCTATAGCTTATTCCCTCTCGAATACTCAATCGAGGAGTATATCCAATTCATCGAGGGTAGTTATTAACAACGACCATTCATTAATAACCCTTACTATTAGTCAAGTATACAACACCGCCATATACCGACTTAATAGTAACATTTAATCTCTTAACTCCTTGATGAAATCAATTGAGATTGATAACCTCAACACAACGGTTTCGGTTTAATCAACAAAATTAATCCCTCTTAAATTTATTAACCACGACCGTGCATTAATAAACCGAAGTTACTTACTTGTGAAGCCATCAACGATTAACCATCGGTTCGTTGATCGTTTCTAGTATTAATTAATGTCGAGATGTTAACTAATTGTCATCTTAGCAACACTCCCCAACATTAATATAGAGATAGATTAAGGGAAGAATTAATATTCAAGGAAGAAGATTAAATATGAATAATCCTACTATAACTAATGTCAAGATGTTATCTAATTGTCATCTTAGCAACACTCCCCAACATTAATATATAGAGGAAGAAAATAAATACTACCATAATTAATGTCGAGATGTTAACTAATTGTCATCTTAGCAACACTCCCCAACATTAATATATAGATAGATTAAGAGAATAATTAATATTCAAGGGAAGAAGATAAGAAAATAACTCACAACTTTAATAATCAACAAGCTTCAAGAGCAACACCAAGAAATGGAAGTTTAGCTCCACATTTGGAGACTAAACATGCTATAAAAATATAAAAGAAATACTATTCTAAACTAAGTTTAAGAGTATGGAAGAAGGGATGATTTTTTTGTGAAGAAAAAGTGTGCTATTTATAGGTGTTTTTCAACACCTTTGGCCGGGTACCCGACCGGGTATAGGTACATACCCGACCGGGTACCGGTCAAAATCAGATTATCTCCCACGATTTCTTGTTTTCTGCACGTTAACTTGTCCGGGTCAAATCAGACCCGACCGGGTCAAGTAAGGAACCCGACCGGGTTTGACCAAAATCAGATCTTTTCCAAATCTGCAGCATGTTCTGGTGCTCCGGGTCAAATCTGACCCGACCGGGTCGAGTAAGGGACCCGCCCGGGTCTGTGCTCCTGAGAATTTTTGTCTTCAGCTTTTCTTCCCTTTTGCTTGCTAAAAACTCTATCACTATTCTATAGCTAGAAATAGAAGGTAAAAACAATTACAACTAAAAATAAAACAAATACTTACAAACTAACTAAAAGTGATGGAAAGTCTACACAAGATCGATATTAAAAACATACACTTATGCACTATAAACTAGTGCATATCAAACACCCCCACACTTGCACTTTTACTCGTCTCGAGTAAAATGAGTTCTGTTCAAGAAGTCCTTAAATGGTAAGAGTAGCAACACCAACAACCATAAGTGTTCAAAACACATAAAATAAAGTATTTTCAAAACCAAAAGAGTAAAAATGGGTCTTCAATTTCAGCTTCCTCATCCGATGAACTCTGTATAGTAATCACCCTCAGGATCCTGCAAAATCAAAAGAAATACTTTCTCTCATTCTCTCATTTTGCCTAGGTGCCCTTTTTGGGTTTTCAACCCAGCTTCCCACATTTTCCTTTTTGTTCTCACCAACTCACTCTTCTTTTTGCTTTTATTTTGCTTAAGTTGCCCTTTTGGGTTTTCAACATAACAAGCTTAATTTTTTTTTTTTTTTTTTTTTTTTTTTTTTTTATTTTATTGAAGAAAATAATGAAGAGCATGAAATGGGTGCATACCGGAATAGTTCTCAATACCCCCACACTTAGGATTAGGCACTGTCCCTAGTGCCCGCCCGCATCTCCTCCATCATAGGACCCTCCATAGCCGTGGTAACCGGTGAAGTGAGCATCTTCATCCATGTGATCACCTTGGTGCCCGTCATCTCCGCCCCCTCCACTAGAGCTTGAACCGCCGAAATAACCCCATTCAGTGGGGTTATACCATGAGGGTGCGGGAGGGGGGTTAGACATAGTCGCAAAAGACCCTTGGTGTGCCACATAAGAGTATATTGGACCAAAGGTTCTCCGTTGGTCCTCTTCATGCCTATGCCAATCTTCCCGTCTTTGTTCTTCAATCCTTTCGAAACCCTGCCGCTGCTCATTTCTATATAACCCGAACTCATTCCGGAGTTGAGTGTAGTTAAGGTTGTAACACCCCCAAATTTCCCACCCAAAAATAATGCTTTATTCAAAAGAAATATTAACTTTATTCGAAAACATCAGAGTTATGCAGCGGAAAAACCAAAAGGGAAATAGGGGCGCTACCGCCACACTCGGTTCTCCCTTAACCGAGTGCACAGGCTAAAACAACTTAAACTCCAAAAATAATTATTCACTAACTAAAGATATTGAAAATGGAATTACAATGATTTACTAACTATGTTTTCTAGCGGAAGCTCTCTCGAAATCAACATCATCATCAAAGCGTCACCTGTACAAAATCAAGTACAGAAAGAAAAACAAAGAAAACAAAAATTAGCAACAATGCTAAGTAAGTTCCACCTAACCCCATAAAATAATAAATAATAAAATTTAATGTTTTTGAAAAACATTTAGGAGGAAAAATATATATATTTTTAAACAATTTATAAAATCTTCTCATAGCATAATTCACTAGTAAAATAATAGTACCTCAAATATAAGCAAATATTTCCCAACCACAAAAATTACAAAAATACCAATTATACGTAAAACCGCCAAAAATCATTACAATAATTCCAAAGCATAAATCAAACACCAAATATCTCAAAATACTTATAAATGTTGATAATAAAGAGTACTCAACATAATCAAACCAAATCAAATCCAAAAGTAAAACCCACAAATAATTTAACAACTCAATCCAAATATAATCCAATCCAATAATCCAACAATTCCAATCAATCCAATACTTTAATTCACCACAAATCCAATCAAATAATATTCACCTCAAGTCCAAATCAAGCCAATCAAATAATCTCAATCACCTCAATCCAATCAAAGTCCAGTTCACTTCAAACCCAATCAAAGCTAGTGGAAGCCGAACTCCTACCTTAAGTGTGCACACCCCCTAAAAGGGATTCCAAGCCCTCCGGGAAGTAAGAAGCCCGAGTAGTCGGGATTTTTCTACCAACTACATTACGATTAAGCTGGGATACTCCGCTTTTGGGAAGTACCCCTGGTGGATTTAGACTTATAGCCATTACCACTCACCAATACCACATTTATCCGGATGTGGCAAACCGACACCACAGATTTCTCTGGGTGCTCACCAAAAATCACAATTCATTTTCAAAGTTCCAAACCAATATCACAACCTCAACCAAAACGAATACGAAATCCAAACTCCACAAAATAATCCACAATGTAAAATATTAACTCCAACAAATTACCCTCAAATGTGCCACACATTAAAATTTCGCAAAGGAGCCAAAATATAGAATACTTTACAAATAGCTCAAATCCCCACAACAATTCACACGATAACTCAAATACTCAAAATAGATCCAATACCGAATACTCAAATCTCAAATATAATTTCTCAATAACAATTCATAACAATTTCCAAATACTCCAATAAAAATCTCAATCGCAACTAATTTAATACGTAAATGTAATTGCTAGAAATCTCATCAAATACTCAAATACTTCAAATAAATAATCATAAATAGATTCACGAGGAAAAGGTATAATTTTGGTTGACGTGAAACTTACCTCAAATTGCGATAACTCCTAACCCAAGCTTCTATTTCAATCTCCACTGGAACACCTTCTAAGATTATTAAAAATTAAATATAGTCAATAACGATTATAGTCCTTAATTATATAATCATCTTTATTCAATCTTATGTATCCTGAATAGTTAGTCAAATTAATAATTTATTAATCCTTCACTTTAGGAGTAAACCAGACGGCCCATCTCTTGTTATTATTTCGGTGTATTAATTAATAATAATTCAGCCCCACCAAACTTTTAACAAGTCTCGGCCGAAAACAATGAATAGCAGAAGACCAGAGTATAGAGTCTACGTACATTCGTAGCCTTCCTGGAAGCTCAGCCGACGTGCGCAGGTGGTGCTCTCTGGCGGCAATAGCAGTTCAACAGTTCAACGGCGGAGACCCCGGCTTTGTTCTCTTCTTCCGTCGTCAACAGCTCGGCAGTTCGTCCGTCAGCAGCGGCATGTCCGGCGTGTTGTTCTTTCCCCGGCGACGTTGCTCTTCCTCTTCCGGTGATGCAGTGGCAATCTACTCGGCTGATCGTCTCCCAAGGGACTGGTTCCTCTGGTTTTGTGCAGAGCAGTACGGCCGATCGTAGTACGTATTTCCGCAGGTGTAGCCGTTTCTAGACTCTAGGGTTTCCGGACGAGCGAATACGATATGTGTATATATATATGTCGTTAGTCGATGCTTCTAGGTTCTAGGGGTTCACGCGTAGAATGGTGTCGGCCGTTTCCATATATGACGTTTCAAGTTGTAGCCGAATTACTCATATAATTATTATATCGTATAAATATAAACGATAGTATATGGGCATTGTTATTGTTATCAATACGTGTAAAGAAAAGTCTAACTTTCTTTAATATACGAGTACATGTGTGTGCATGCCGGATTTCACCTTTTTTTTTTGTTAAAATGTCATTATTCTTATTTGTTAGAATTGTCAGAATTTTATCTTATTAATAAATTATCTATTTTATTTTAAATTTTCGGAGTGTCACATTCTACCCCCCTTAAAAATGTGCTTCGTCCCCGAAGCACTTACCTTACTCAAAAAAATAATTTATTTATTCAAGATGAAAACGATGCATTGTTCTTCAAAGAGTTTACTACTAGTGATAATTAGAAATTTAAATGGTCCCACCTATTACTCTCAAGTTCTTCCG